CTGCACATGTTAAGAAATGCGGGTGTTACTTTATTGTTTCCTTAAGCCGAAGCAAAATCGTCTAGATAACTCATCCTACTTTTGAGTATGCAGTTATTACTTAGAAAGGTTAGTGCTTAAAAGTAATGGCAATTGAAACATTACTAATGTATATCTTGCTTCTGTGCAGGAATGGGCTGCTGAGCATTGCTCTGCACCTTTTCGCGCACCTGAATTGTGGGACTGCCCGAGTCATGCTGATATTGATGAGAGGACAGACATTTGGTCGCTAGGTTGCACTCTTTACGCGATCATGTAAGTTCCATCATGGCTTGTTGCATGAGTAAATTTACTATGCTTGATCAAGTTTCATCTCCCATTGATTTATGTGTCAGTATGATTCTCAATTATTTTGTGGTGTACCGTTGCTCTAAATCTCCGACTGCTTCAGTGCATAATCCATTGGCACATTTATTAGAAATTATTTCAGCTTAGTATTTGTATCTCATTTTTTCGCAGTCTTGACAAGTGAGAAGTGACAGCCCGTGGAATTTAGTACTGTACAACAAATGGTGTTATCCCATCAACTTTTTAAGTCGGGAGTAATTAACAATGAAAGTAGCTATCAGTCATACCTTGTGCTTTAGATGGCGTACTGCTTAAAGATCAAACTCAAATTGGTTGAAGTTTCTAATCAAACATACTGGGTCTCGGAAGAGTCGTGAATGTGGTCAACTTATCAACTGGGGCGGTAACCTGTAATTACTTAATAAATCACTGATGCTCACATTTCTGTTCTTTGTAGGTATGGTGTTTCTCCCTTTGAGTATGCTCTTGGTGAATCTGGAGGAAGCTTGCAGCTGGCCATTATGAACGCGCAGTTGAAGTGGCCAGCGCTACCGAGCACCTACCCTGACGCACTTCACAAGTTTGTTACCTGGATGCTTCAGCCACAGCCTGAGATGCGCCCTCGCATCAATGACATACTTCTCCACGTTGACAAGCTTGTGGAGAAATACTCGCCTTAAAGCCAGCTTGCATATTCTGTTCTGACTTGTTTCTTCTTTATACGATTGCAAAAGGGGACATGTTGTAAGACTCATGCTCTAGGCCTTTTCATCCTTTGGAATAGGCTCAGTGTCAATTCTTTATGTAACTTTCAGGCTGTTACCGATATGTCGTTCTCTAACTCTTGGAAGTTATATTACTCGCTTATCTTGTACAAAATGTTTGCTGAATATGAAAAATACATGTGTTATTGTCTTCGCCTTCTACTTCTCCAGGCTCTTCCTGTTTTTGTTTAAGTACACAAGGAACAGTTATTTAAAAAAACTGATTTATTTTTGTGACAAACATTGACAAAAGTTCTAAGAACTTGCAAAGATTCATCATCAAATCAGATTTGTGGAACTATGGCAACAAAAAAAAAACAATATCGATACTCTGAAAATGCTACTTCCGAAAGCATTTTGGAGCACTTATTCTGGGTTTTTTTTCAAGCTCTTAGTACTTTTGTCAATGTTTGTCATAAAAAAATCAGATTTTTTGATTTTTATTTCAATTTTACTGTTTACCCAAGCTCATTTGAGCTCGGGCTGTGAATGTTACTTTCCCTAACTAAGAGCATTGCCCCAAATCCCAATAGACTTTCAATACAGGCTCGTGCGGTACAAAAATAGCTCGTTCAATCGTTCAATTGTGTGCATTCACTGTTTGGACAACATAGCACGAACCTTAAAACACATCATAGCCAAGCTCGTTATGAATCGGTTTCCCGTGATGCAAAAGATCCCACGTGGGTGGCTCTAGCGATGCAACCTTGTGCGGTGTGATACATGGTGTCAGGTTGCACGTAGTTTGTTCGTTTAACTCCTAATCTCGTTCACTTATTAGTCCCTTTCAGGAGATCGGTTCATAGTTTCATTCATTGTAAATGTTCAATTCCGTGTTCATGTTTGGAGCTATTTTGGACAAATTTTGCCAAATTTGTCACGCACGTCGCCCGTTTGAAATTTCTTTTGACCAATAGCTTCATTTTGCAGTTTCAAACGACTTGCACGTTTTCTGTTTTGATAATCATAGACAAGTAGATCTATATCTTCCTCGTGGACTGTACATATATGTGGTCTTGTTTTAGTGACACTCCTTATTGTCCTTCACCTAGTCCCTCCTAATCATTCCTCTTGGCCTCCTCTCCCGCGTCGTGTTGCACTCGCGCCACTGCCTGCGTTGTTCCTTTCGGTCTCCTCTCCCGCGTCCTACTACACTAGCACGACCCTCGACATTGTTCCTGTCGGCCTTCTCCCCCGCGTCTTGCTAAACTGGCGCCACTGTCGCGTCGTTCCTCTCGGACTACTCGCCCGCGTGCCCAGCCAATGCAGGACAACAAAGGCCATGCAAAAAAAAAAAATACTCCCCTAATGCAGCCGACCTACATGCAGGGGACCAAACGATGTGCAAAACATAGTTTTTAGCTTGCATATGCTCAGCCAGACCCAACTGGGACAAGTATGCAAAAGGGCAAAAAAGATGCACAACCAAACACGCCCTTGATGATTGGATTGGAGCGCAGAGAGCACAATCATAAAAGGTTGGAAGAAATTTGTGAAGGTTGTCATTGAGATCTTCGGAGAGAAATATCTCCAAGCAACAAATGAAATGGACACTGCGAGCTTCTGCAGGTGAGTGCATCAAAAGGCTACATAACATGGGCAGCTGAAATGTCACTGTAAAGATGCAACCATAATTCTTCAAAGTTGTGTCATCAAACGATCTATGAATTTGACATTCATATTTTGGTTTGTCGGGGTCATCTAAATGTCTTGCAATGATCTCATTTATTTGCAAGGCTATCTAACATGGAGGCACCACTGGTGAACTTACAACACGGGTTACTATCTTGCATATGGAATATATCCTTCATGGTCAACATTTAGGAAGACAATATCAAACCCTCAAGGCAACAAGAAGCATTTGAGGTATTGCAAGCTCGATTTTCCATTGTTCGGGGCCCTGCAAGATTTCGAAACCAAAAGGATTTGATTTGGGGACCAAAGGCATTTGTGGAGCATCATGATAGCTGGTGCATCCAGGGCCGGCACTGTGTTTCGGGAGGCCCTAGGCGAATTCGATGCCATGTGCCCCTATGTCCTAAGATCATATATATGTATGCGCATGCGTGGTACATAAACTTAAACATAATAATTATTGGACAATGCCATATTACGACAGAAATACTAAAAAGATAGAAAATTGAAAGTAACATGATATGATTACCTCAAATAAGAACCAAATTCAACTGACTCCATCGACAACAATAATACTTAAGTACCCTTCAGTTGTTGAATCTTCAGATCCCTTTCTATCTTTTTTCTCCTTGTTTGAGCAACTGACAAATGCTTCTTAGGCAACATGGCGGGCTAATGTCCTAATATTATGAAGAAAAAATTATTCAAGGAACTAGAAATTTATACATCGAATGATTTGAATGATTGGAACCCTAGACATGTGCATAGAATGACAAAAAAAAGGATGGTTGAATACATACTATGAAAGATTGAATTCGAAAATTATACATTAAAATTTGGGACTTCGTGTACACTGAAATTAGAGGATGGATCATGGATGAATAGTTAAATACGTTCTAAAAAATAAAAGAAATTACTGAAATTGGGGTTTGCAAGGATGGATCAGGAACATGGTACAGAGAGTTATGCATGGATATGTATATGTACTGTTGTGGGCTGCGCTCACTGCTCACATACATACGTATACGTACTGCTGCGGGCTGCGGCTGCTGGATTGCCGCACGGCGGGCGACACGCACAGCGGTGACCGAGGCGACCACAGCGACGAGTGGGCGAACAGACGAGCGAGGCGTCCGCGAGATCTTCGATTGATTTGTTTCACAATCGAAACGAGCGGCCCTGCCGTGCGGTGTGCGTGACGCTTCGCTAATCGCTACCTGCTATCTGATGGGCCTACCTCGTCTCATTTTTCTTCTCTCGTAAATTTTTTTCTCACCTATTTTTGCTTGGCTATATTATATATGTGCACTACATCATGGGCCCCTCCCTGGGCTGGGCCCTGGGCCGTCGCCCCCCTGCCCATGCCCCAGGGCCGGCCCTGGGTGCATCATCAGAACATGCGTGAGCATGCAGAACGGGATAAGGAAGGAGCGAGTCTAGCCGAAAGACTTCTGCTACGAGAATGAGGGGAAGAAAAAAAAATATACATCACGTGTCAACCATCGGAGGGATGAACACCGACTCTAGAAGTTTCATCAAGTGTATCAACAGATCAATCCTCCTTTTCAAAAATATAAAAATAAAAATAATCAACAGATCAAAGACTGCCGCGGGGCATGAACTACTTTTGGAAGACCTTGCTGAGCATTTGTGGGAGCTCCACGGACAATAAACTTCTTCATGTTTACTTTGATGCATTTGGACCATTTGTTATGTTTTAATCATAGATTATGGGTTTGAAACTGAAACATAATTATTTGAATTCTTATGATGATAAAATGAAGGTGCCTATGTGTTTAATGCAAGTGCAGAGAGAGCTAGATTTTTTTTTTACATTTAGGGATGGGTTTATTCGGAAGTTGCAAAAGCAGCCCACATAAAAACCCCAAAAAACTTGATGCGTCAGCTGGAGATGCTCTAAGAATGTTGGAACATTTCTTCGGAACTCATATGCAGCTTTCCCAAGTTCCTTCTGAATGCATTCATTTACCCAGTCCAGCTGTCAGTGTTGTGGAAGATTCTTTCATTTACTGTAAGCTAACATGAACGCACTGCAAAAGTGAAGTACTACGTAGGTCTACGGATTGAAGCAATGATTCCAACAAGTTTGACGACGATGGTTCAGACACAATTACCAGATGCAATTCGACAGGAGAAGAAACATCGTATGATAATTATTCCCTTCTTCGCAACAACCAAATGCTGATTCTTCTTCTTCTTCATGGCGGATCAACTCACAAGTCACAGCAGCATTACTCTCTCAGAGCTGAGGCATCAGTCGTCCCAGTTGAAGGCGACGGGGCTCCTGACCCGGTGCTTCCTGTTCTCCCAGGCGATGTGGCCGAACTCCCACGTCCCGGTCGGCCTCGCCTTCGCTCCGGCCTCGCTGCTGAACCGCACGGTGTAGCTCCTCTTCTCGTTCACCCGCTTGAACTCCAGCGACGCCGGTGTCACCGTCACCTTCACCCCGTCCGGCGCGGCGACCGTCACGTTGTACCTCTCGGGTTGCGCCGACACCTTGGTCACCGTCCGCGTCAGCGTGCGGGCGCGGGTGCGGCCGTCGAACACCACCACGAACGACGGGTAGTTGAGGTTGGCCACGCCGCCGGGGATCGTCCTCGCGCACTTGCTCAGCCCCGGCACGAACCGCCGCATCTGCTCCGCCGTGTAGTTGAGGGTGCAGAGGAAGTCGACGTAGTCCTGCGTGCCCGCGTCGTACACCAGGCCCGGGTCCATGGTCAGCCGCGGGAGCACCAGCCCGGCCCCCGCCTCCATAGGCGTCGCGGCGGCGCCGACGGCACTGCCGCCGTCCACGATGTCCCTGCCGTTCTTGTCGAGCGGGCCCGCGGTCGTCATCAGCGCCGAACGGATCATGGCCGGCGTCCAGTCGCCGTGCCGCTTCTTGATCAGGGCCGCGACGCCGGCCACGTGCGGGCACGCCATCGACGTCCCCGAGATGATGTTGTACTCCACTCTCCGCGGGTCCATGTCGCTGTCGGATGGCGGGGCGGCACCTGACCAGGCGGCGAGGATGTTCACCCCCGGCGCGATGACGTCCGGCTTCAGGATCTCGGGGACAATCGGGTTGGGGCCCCGCGAGGAGAAGCCCGCCACCATCGGCGCCCGGTTCTCGCCGGTGACCGTGTCGCAGGTGAAGTTGAAGGACGCCACCGGGTACGCCACGGACGACATGTAATCGGCCAGCTTCTTGCCGCCGGCGGAGCTGAGCAGGAGACCGGGAAGGGGGAAGGGTTCGGCCATCACCGTGTCCCAGAACCGTTCCGTACTTTGGACGGAAACTATCCCGGCTCCGCCGGCTCTCTCCACCTCAAGGCCAGCCGAAGCTCCTGCCTCCCGGGAGCACACCACGACCTTGCCCATGACCTTGTCGGGCGTCAGATCATACTCTCCGCAGGAGGTGCGCACTAGCGGGACCATGCCCGCGCCCTGGGACTGGGAGAACGGGGTGTCGTACAGGGACTGCCCGGTGAGCACCACCCCGTTGCCGAGCGTGAGCGTCGCCGGGAACACCCGGTCCGTGGTGGCGGCGCCGACGGTGGTCATCCACGGGGCCACGTTGGATATGGTTGACGCTGTCGGGCCTTTGTTGCCACCCGCCAGGACGACGAAGACGCCTCTCCGCTCGGCGCCGAACGTGGCGACGGAGAGGAGGTCGTCGTAGAAGGGTTCCGCGGGGTACGCGATGGAAATGGAGAGGAGGTCCACGCCGTCGGTCACCGCGGCGTCGATCGCCGCGATGACGTCTGAGGCAAAGCATCCTGCGTTGCACGCCCTGTACATGGCGATCCTTGCCATGGGCGCCACGCCGCTCGCTCTCCCGCCCGCGAACTGGAAGAGATCGGCCGAGGGGACCTCGGAGCCTGCGGCCGTCGACGCCACGTGCGTTCCGTGCCCAGCGATGTCCCTCGGGCTCGGATCGGTTAGGAGGCCACCGCCCTCTAGCTCGACCGTGAGGAAGGACTTGGCGCCGACGAGCTTGTTGTTGCACAAGCTGGCGCTGAATCCCGGGGCGTCCACGCACTTGCCCCTCCAGGTGGACCTGACGGGGCCGAGCCCGGCGTCGTTGAAGCTGGCGCGCTCTGGCCAGATGCCGGTGTCGACGAAGCCGATGATGACGCCGTCGCCGAACTCCGCGTCCGGCCACGCGCCGAAGTCGTCGTGGAGGCCCATGAACCACGGCGACCTCGTGGTCTGGGTGTGGTACACCCTGTCCTTGTACACGAGGGACACGCCGGGGACGGTCGCCATGCGCTGGGCCTCGCCGTCCGTGAGACGGGCCGCAAAACCATGCATCACTGTGCCGTAGGTGTGGCGGATGTGGTTGGAGTTCTCGCCAGCCATGGACGCGTACCAACGCTCGTGGGTGTCAAACTTGGACGGCTTGGCGAGGTGGTTGGTGAGGACGACGTAGGTGTCCGAGGTCGAAGGATGAGGCTGCTTGTGCTCCTCGGCCATGGCGTTCTTGGGTTTCTGGGTGAGGGTGACGGAGGAGTGTGTGGACTGGACAAGGAGGAGAAGTAGCAGGGAGCAGCGCAAGAGGATGGGGATCATGGAAGCCATTGTTGAATTGTGTGCGAGCGAGGTTGTGGTTGCAGTGCGAGTGGTGGGTTTTATGGAGCTTGAGCAGCTCTGTGTGACGCTACCGGACAAGACATGCATGCGTGTTCAGCAGGACAATGCATCGCCGAAGATAAATTATGTAGGACTTAGATGTGCAATACTTACTAGATGTGCTTTATCAAAACTGATAAATTATTGCATCACACACCTGTCAGGCCCATCAAATTTCTATTTTAGTTTGAAGCTTGCATTACCATGTTTAGCCCTAAATATATCATCATACACGGTGGCTCAGCTACAGCTAGTGGATGGTACTAAATGTGGCTTTCTTCTAGGCTAATCCATGGCTAGTGGAAGCTAAATGCAGCCTTGAAACAAAACTATTGAGCTTTGTTTTGTCAGGATGATTGATGTTTTGGGTACACACGGTGAAGATTAAAACTTTTCCATGTGCTTAGTATTGTTTTCTTGATTTTACATTTTTTGTTTTTCAGAAAATATTTTTATTTTCAGTTATTTTCCTGGATTTTTTATTTTGCAGTTTTTTCTTGGAATTTTTTTTGCTGACGTGGCTTGCTATCTGGATGGTCAACTGGGTCAAAACGTGTCAATGGGAGGGGAGGATTGAATCCTCATTGGTTTTAAATGTTTGGGTTTGTAAGGCCAACTCCACCGCGCGACCCCATCTTATTCGGGTGCGTTCGTTTGGGGTAGAACGGACGAATAGTGCGGCCCAACGCGCGGCCCCAAACGGACAAATGTCCGGATTCCGTCCATTTTCGACTCATCCTCGGCTTAAACTTGCGTCGAGTTTGGGGTGAAACAGACATCGCGCGTACGGGCTCGTCGCACGCCCTTGTCCCCCCGTGGCCCGCCTGTCGGGGACACTAGCAGTCCATTCGCTTCCAACGCCTGCACTGTTGGAAATATGCCCTAGAGGCAATAATAAAAGTATTATTATTATATTTCCTTGTTCATGATAATTGTCTTTTATTCACAGGACAGCGGTCAAAGTTATCCTTAGTAACTAGTGGACTAAGGAATTTTCTCGATTATGGAGGTGGTAAAAGAGTTCGTCGTAAAGGTTACGTCGATGCAAGCTTAACACCTATCCGGATAGCTCTGAGTAGAGAGACCGGATACATATAATGGAGCAATAATTTAGAATAGCTCAAAGTAGAACAGTTATTTGGAATAGCTCCAAATAGAGCATGGTAGCTGCATCTAGGAGATGACATAGAGATTTGTAAAGCACACACGGATCTGAAAGGTTCAGACCCGTTGACTAAAACCTCTCTCACAAGCAACATGATCAAACATAAAACTCATTGAGTGTTAATCACATAGTGATGTGAACTAGACTACTGGCTCTAGTAAACTCTTGGGTATTAGTCACATGGCGATGTGACCTGTGAGTGTTAATCACATCGCGATGTGAACTGGATTATTGACTCTAGTGCAAGTGGGAGACTGTTGGAAATATGCCCTAGAGGCAATAATAAAAGTATTATTATTATATTTCCTTGTTCATGATAATTGTCTTTTATTCATGCTATAACTGTATTATCCGGAAATCGTAATACACGTGCGAATACATAGACCACAATATGTCCCTAGTGAGCCTCTAGTTGACTAGCTCGTTGTGATCAACAGATAGTCATGGTTTCCTGGCTATGGACATTGGATGTCGTTGATAACGGGATCACATCATTAGGAGAATGATGTGATGGACAAGACCCAATCCTAAGACTAGCACAAAAGATCGTGTAGTTCATTTGCTAGAGCTTTGCCAATGTCAAGTATCTCTTCCTTCGACCATGAGAGCGTGTAACTCCTGGATACCGTAGGAGTGCTTTGGGTGTATCAAACGTCACAACGTAACTGGGTGACTATAAAGGTGCACTACAGGTATCTCCGAAAGTATCTATTGTTTTATGCGGATCGAGACTGGGATTTGTCACTCCGTGTAAACGGAGAGGTATCTCTGGGGCCACTCGGTAGGACATCATCATATGCGCAATGTGACCAAGGAGTTGATCACGGGATGATGTGTTACGGAACGAGTAAAGTGACTTGCCGGTAACGAGATTGAACAAGGTATTGGATACCGACGATCGAGTCTCGGGCAAGTAACATACCGATAGACAAAGGGAATTGAATACGGGATTGATTAAGTCCTTGACATCGTGGTTCATCCGATGAGATCATCGTGGAACATGTGGGAGCCATCATGGGTATCCAGATCCCGCTGTTGGTTATTGACCGGAGAACGTCTCGGCCATGTCTACATGTCTCCCGAACCCGTAGGGTCTACACACTTAAGGTTCGATGACGCTAGGGTTATAAAGGAAGTTTGTATGTGGTTACCGAATGTTGTTCGGAGTCCCGGATGAGATCCCGGACGTCACGAGGAGTTCCGGAATGGTCCGGAGGTAAAGATTTATATATGGGAAGTCCTGTTTTGGTCACCAGAAAAGTTTCGGGCGATATCGGTATTGTACCGGGACCATCGGGAGGGTCCCGGGGGTCCACCAAGTGGGGCCACTTGCCCCAGCAGGTTGCGTGGGCCAAGTGTGGGAGGGGACCAGCCCCTAGGAGGGCTGGTGCGCCCCCCACAAGGGTGCAAGGCGCAAGGGAGAGTGGGAGGGGGCAAACCCTAGTCCAGATGGGCCTTAAGGCCCATATTGGTGCGCCTCCCTCTCCTCTCCCCTCTTGGCCGCCACCCCCTTTGCCATCTAGGGCTGGCCACACCCCTTGGGGGTGGGAAACCCTAAAGGGGGCGCAGCCCCCCCTTCCCCCTATATATAGTTGAGGTTTGGGGCTGCCATACACATGAGTTCTCTCCCTCTTGGTGCAGCCCTACCTCTCTCCCTACTCCTCCTCTCCCATGGTGCTTGGCGAAGCCCTGCGGGATTGCCACGCTCCTCCACCACCACCACGCCGTTGTGCTGCTATTGGATGGAGTCTTCCTCAACCTCTCCCTCTCTCCTTGCTGGATCAAGGCGTGGGAGACGTCACCGGGCTGTACGTGTGTTGAACGCGGAGGTGCCGTGCGTTCGGCACTTGATCATCGGTGATTTGAATCACGACGAGTACGACTCCATCAACCCCGTTCACTTGAACGCTTCCGCTTAGCGATCTACAAGGGTATGTAGATGCACTCTCCTTCTACTCGTAGCTGGTTTCTCCATAGATAGATCTTGGTGACACGTAGGAAAATTTTGAATTTCTGCTACGTTCCCCAACATGCACCCCCTCTCCCCACCTCGCCCCGCCGCCGGCGCTGCCGCTATTCTCCGGCCGCCTCCTCACCGCGCAGCCCCCGGCCGTCCATACCAAACCACGTCTCGACATGGCTGCCACCACACCCGCGCTTTTGCCGTAGTTTTGGTCGTCGATCGGAGGATGTTTGGCCGTCACCGTCGTAGCCGACGGCAGAGGGGATACGACCGCTGGCGACGTACCACGACGGCCACGACAGCTTCCAACGAGTCCTCCAAAGCGGCCAGTAGCCGGCCGCCAACCACCCCTGCTGCATCGAGGTGATCATCGCGGCCTCTTTGCCACCACGACCGCAAGGTGTTCGACACTTTACCCACAAAGGTATGGACAGTGGAGATGAATTTTCCTTCCACCACTTCATTTGTTCATCAGACGATTCATCGTCGGATGATGAAGATCTTGTGGTGGCTGCACTGGTCGTTCACGAGCACATTCAACGACAACTTCCTCGGTACAGGGGTCACTCCGTGGCCGTGCTCCCAACCTGAACCGCAACAGGGAGAGACGCCATGCCCTGCTCTATGCCGATTACTTTGCAAACACCCTACTCTTCAAGCCGGATAAATTCCGTCGCCGTTTTCGTATGACAAGGCATGTGTTCAATCGTATCCGAGAGGGAGTGCTTTCTCATGACCCATACTTCGAGTGCAAGACGGATGCCCTTGGCAAGCTTGGATTCTCCTCTTACCAGAAATGCACCGCAGCCATCTGCCTGCTTGCATATGGAATTCCAGGTGATCTGGTGGATGGGTATGTGCGTATGAGTGATACAACATGTCTGATGTCAATGTACAAGTTCTTCCAGGCTGTGATCGAGGTGTTTGGCCCTGAGTACTTGAGGCAGCCAACTGCCGCTGATACAAAGAGATTGTTGGCGACCAACATAGCTAGAGGCTTTCCAGGCATGCTTGACAGCATAGATTGTATGTACTGTGAGTGGAATAACTGTCCATTTGCTTGGCAGGGCCAGTACAAGGGGCATGTCAAAGCGTGCACTGTCATATTAGAAGCGATGGCTTCGTAGGATCTTTGGATATGGCATTCTTTCTTCGGCATGGCAGGTTCTCACAATGATATGAACGTGCTGCAGCGTTCTCCAATCTTCACAAGGCTTGCAGAAGGCCACTCCCCACTTGTCAACTTTGAGATCAACGACCACCACTACAACAAGGGATACTATCTAGCTGATGATATATATCCTCAATGGTCAACTTTTGTGAAGACAATCTCGAACCCCCAAGGTGAGAAGAGAAAGAGATTTGCCTAAATGAAAGAGAGTGCTAGAAAGGATGTGGAACGTGCTTTTGGTGTGCTTCAATCCTGATGGGGTATCATTTGAAACCCTGCACTATCATGGGATGAAGGGAAGCTTTGGGGGGTGATGACTGCTTGTGTGATCATGCACAACATGATCGTCGAGGACGAGCGTGACGACAGTATCTTCGACCAAGGATTTGATTATCAAGGTGAAAATGTTGAGCCCCTGCACCAAGAACCGGCCACGTTTGAACAGTTTGTCCAATTCCATCGTGAGCTGTGTGATTGGCACACTCATTTGGATCTTCAAAATGACTTGGTTGAGCACATATGGCCATATGGGATCACATTGGCAACCAATAGATGTATTGGTTCATTTTATGTTCATTCAAGACAATTTCGATTTGGTTGTAAAACTATTTTATTAGAGACAATTTCGGTTGGGTTGTAAAACTATTTTTAATTTCAAACAATTAATATTTGGACGTGCAAACTTGTTTTGATATGAAAATATGGGCATTTCTGGCCCTGGCGGACAGGATGGGGCAAACAGATGCGGC